GCCAGGCCAGGGCAGCGGGACGCAGGATGGGGCCAGGTGTGCAGCAGCATTGCTCCGGCCCCATGCTGGCACCTCCCCTCTCCCTGCCCTGTTCCGGGCCTGGCCTGCTGCCTGCCGCACATTGCTGGGGGGTCGTGCCGAAAGGGACTCGGCGTCCTGGCTTCGCTCCGCTGGGGACTGAGCTGGCCTAGATCCTGAGCAGGGATGCGGGGGAGGCTCTTGATCTCCTGTACAAGCTCTTCTCTCGGCTAAGTCCCTTAATTCCCTGAAATCCCTTGCGCTGCTGATGGCGTGCACTGGCTTTGCCAGCAGCTTGCCAACTGCTGGGCACCAGGCACTGCTGAGCCTGGAGCACCCAGGCAGCCCCTGCCTGCTGGAGGGCCCCCGCAGCCTGCAGTGATGGGGGCTGGGGAATATTTAAGGGCACTTTGCCAGCCAGACTGGGAGCAGGTCAGAGACTGCCTGGCTCTTCCAGGGCAGGGGGTGCCACAAGGGAGGATGTCACATTCCCCTGCCTGCTTGGGTCACTGTGGATGCCCACGGTGTCCATCAGCTGTGAGCTCTTACAATGCATGTGGCACGTCTTTTCCAGTGCCCCCACTGCCTGTGGCACTGGGCAAGTGTCAAGGCAATGGAGGGCTTGGACCCTGAGCAGCATGGGCGGAGGGGCAGTGGTGAAGCTGGTGGGGGCTCAGTCGCACGGTGCTATCTTTGTAGGTGGAGCCAGAGGTGGTGGAGCAGCCCCAGGCACTGAGGCTGGAGCCAGAGCTGCCCAATGGCATGGAGAAGGTCCAAGTGAGGGAGCTGGAGAGAAAGAGCAAGCTAAACATCGAGGAGCTGAACAGGATTGAGGATGAGGATACTCTGGATAAGATGGTACCTCCTCCACCCCGGGCTCCTGGGGGAAGGTGAGGGGACCCCAAGCTGGTGGCAGAGGGGTGATGCTGACCTCCACCTCCTCCTGCAGCTGGATCGGACAACAGACTTTGAGGAGCGGCGACTGATCCGGAATGCCATGCGGGAGCTGCGCCAGCGCAAGCGAGGTACTTGGGGAGAGTGACCCCCCCCGCAGGGGTTGGGGCTCTGGCGCTGGTGTTGCAGGTGAGCCGACAGGATGCTGGAACGGGGTCACGTAGCTGTGGTGAAGCAGGAGGGCACACTGGTCTTCTGTTGCACCCCTGGCTGTGCCGCACTGACAACGTCGTCCTTCCCACAGGCTGATTCTGGACTGACAGCAGCCGGCAGGACCCCCGGTGTGGCGGGGACCGTGCCCGCTGCCCTTGC